TGTTGTGGTTTATTAAGTTACATAGTATAAATATTTAAAGCTTAAAAATTTTAGGACCAATCGTTAGTCGCCAATAATGTTCAAGAAAATACTAGTAATAAAGTAAATGAATTAACAGCGGGAGATAAATGTGATGAAATGGAGGATATTCAAGTGAGCCAGCAATATAATATAATTGTTAGTACTGTAATAATAATCGAATTTACTTTTTTCGATTTTTATTTTACATAATTTAAAATGACATTTATTTCTTATGACAATGTTGAATATCATATTGTTAAAAATTCCAGAACGAAAAAGAACGAATGGAATACACTTCGTCCGAATCTGATCTTGATGGTATGTAATTAGATATTTTTTTTAAAGAATCGCAAGCAAGTGGTCAAAATTCTAATAAAGTGGTAAACCTTTCACAAACTTTAAATGATCCAGAGTTTGGTGAAGAAATAGAATACGAGAATGATGCTAATACTAATCAGGTAAGAAATAATTCCTAACATCATAATTAGAAACTATTAATCGATATGACCCGCTTTGGGCTTCTAGTACTATTTGATAGATATTTACATATTTTTTCTAACAATGAGAGCGATAAATTTTTAAATCATTTATATACTGTGTACATTTGCCAAAAAAAACCAATGAATTTACCAATTTTTGCATAACCTGAATTATACCATTAAAAAGGATCCTGATGTTGGAGGAGTGAACGTGTCTTCAATTCCCTCATATTTGACAGATAATGATTCCTTGCCTAGTATTAGCGAAATATTGGTGCACATTATAAATGTGTTAGTTTTATTAATGATTATTACATGCTAATGAAACAATTTCTAGAAACCGCCTACAATCCAAGGCCACAATCCTAGTAAGGAAAAAGACCTTCCACATCCTGATAAGCATACATACGAAACAGAAAATAATATTCGACAATATCAACCTTTTGTTTTTGTTAATGACCCTATTCCAGTAAGAATTTTAATTAATATATAATAATCATAATAATATATTATTATTTTCTCATTATTATTATATATTATTTTTATTATTTACTTAATTGCCTTGGTTCTTATAAAATGTAATACTATGAGGTGACATTGTCGCACTTTATAACATGAGACTTTTAAATAGTCTGGTTTCTGGCTTTTTAAAAATTTCATATGTAAACTTTTATAAAATTTTTTTTCAAACCCACCTAGATATTAATTAATTTTGAATAGCTCTAATTATGTAATTTTTTTAAACAGGAATTTTTTGTTGATAAAAGTAAGGAACCAAGTAAGAATTAAATAAATTTTTGGTGTAATTATCATTAATTATTTCTAACAGCTTGAAACTATCCAGCTTCAAATGATTCCATTAACATTTTGGTATGTAGTATTATCTGAAATTTTTTGATTTTAAATCTTCAGCACTGATATAATAAAGATCTATAATATAATTCTGTAGGAATCACAAAAATACAATGATCCACAACTGTTTCGGATTCTGATGAAGAAATCGAGAAACAAGAAGATTCAAACCAAAAGTGCAAACATAAAATCAGCCGAAAGTATAAAATATCAAAGAAATCCAAAACAAAAGATTTTAAGGGTAAACAAGTAAGTAAGGTGAATAAATCTTATCATGAAGATGGTTTGCAATATTCTAATATTTTTTATTAAAGGATCTAATTAAATTATATTTTGCAGTGTTTATTAGAAACTCAGGTAAAGAGTCTTGAGTTCTATCATACTTGTGTTTTTTAATGTTGGTGTTTTCTGATTCATTTATCAATAAAAGGGAGATGCCAATAATGAAATTCAGTAAGTTTAAGATTATCTATATCATTATGTGTATTAAAAATTTATTTATAATTTAATGAGTTTTATTTATTTATACTAAATTTTTAGGACCTGGGAAGCACTTCTGTGAATTCTACAACTTCGAAATTTAATGGTATATCTAAACTCAGAATTTATTTTTAAGGACTACAAGTTTAATTATTCATAATTTTTTTTTAGAACTACAAATAGGATCAACTGCCTATTGCAAACGTCTTAAATCGCCATCATATTATGCAGAGATATTGAATAAACTAAGAAAAGGAGAAGGAATGTCTGATAATTTTGCATCAAATACAAATGATCTAGTGGAAATGTATTCACAACCAATCGAAAAATATTTTAATGAGGATTCTATACAAGTATTGTTGGAGCCATTGCCAAAACAGATGAAGGATGTTGACAGTTGTTTAAAGTATCTTCAATTGTGGGATCAACATTTTGAAAATTGTCAAAAAAAGATCACCAATCAACAGCATAAAATGCTAAAATTACTTTATTCTTTGTCAGATGTCTTTTTTATATTGCTGATACTTTGTAACAAGAACAACAAAAAGAAATGAGCCAAATTGCGTTGGAAAAGACTACAGATTATTGGAAGGGTCATGATTTAAAGGCTCGGATTAACAAAAAATTTGGCAATATTAATTCACGTTCTGTTTTAAAAAAGTGGACAGCTTGTTGGAAACTGCACCACTTCCTATGGGTAACAAATATTACGCCACGTGAGATGATCGAAGCCAAGCTAAATGCAAATTATTTTCTCATTGCAAGTGCAAGCGAATATAATTTCTTGATTAAAGAATTAGTGAGAAATCCTGAATTTCCTAAATTCCATAACATTAAAGGGGAAAATATATTAGAATTAGTAAATATTGCAAAGAATGCTTACGCGATTTAATGATAATGTTTGTAGCAATTGTTTAATTTTGGTTTTATTTTTTATTTTTTGCTTTTTGTTCTATTCCTTTTTTGAAAGTGGAACAAACCAATAATAAATGAATTATTATATATTACCCCTCCTAAAATCACCAATAACATTAATTTTATTATTTCCTGTTATTATCATTTATTCACTTGGATCTTCAGGATGTGTTTTGGCATCTTGGATTAAATTGCAATTTTACTTTCAAAAGAAGGCTTGGATGGTTTAAAAATTGCCGTAATTGTTTTTGGAATATTGGTATTGATAGGATTTTGTGGTATTTTAACAGGTATTGGACTTGGGTTAAGTAATGTAATTATGGTTATGTATGTAATTAAACATAAAATTAACGCTTCGAACGTATTAACAAATAATTAATAACACTGGTTGAGCATT